CCTGCATCAATAATGTTAATTAAATTGCCGATGCGCTCTCCAGCGAGCAAGAGAAATGTTATTACGTACCAATTGAGAAAAGAAAAAAAATATAAAATGTAACATAATTAGTGTAATAATTATTAAATTAAGCAATTAGTTATATAACTATATGGTTATATTAATCTACAACGTAGCCGTTTGCGTTTGATATGCTTGCTCCATTTAGTGTTTATACCTTAACCAATACCACAACAATTTTGTTTCCAATAAAATAATTTATAAATACACATACACATAACAGATATTATAATTTTTAACGCATTGTAAGCCGTTTTATTATATTTAACATTCTAATTGTCGGATATATCTTATATTCATAAATGTTGCGCTATTTTTATGACAAGCACTCTGGCAATTACTAGAAACGGCTTACAATGTGTTAATGCGATTATCGGGTGAGGGTGTTAAAAGGATTTCCAGGGGTCACCAGGTAAAATCCAAGCATTACGTTTCACCAAATGTACAAATGAACAAACATGCTTGCGGAAGGAAGAAAACCACTGTTTCCTACGTTTAAGGAAAGCGCCGTAAATTGTTAATAACTAAATAATAATAAAAAGGAACGAAACAAATGAAGCCGCGTAAACGGAAATGTATTCGGCGATAAGTTCAATTTAATTCGGTTCAATCGGATTATCGAATTAGCTTGTCGCAATCCCATAACAATTTAATTCTGATTATTACTGTATCAAGATAAAGATTTATTTGGATAATTGCAGAATACGATATTGCAATCAAGAGCAAATTAATTATGAAATTTGTTACATCTCATAAATTTCTTATCATACACGTAATTTAAATAATTCTTACGAGGAGAGATTTTATTTTTATTTTATTTGTATTTTATACATCTCAAATTATATGGTATACTTTTTAAATAATACTTTGTTACGTAACAATTTAATAATTATTATAAATTATTATCAATAATTTTTAAAAATTTACTAATTAATTTCCACATTATAATAAATATTATAATATTATGTCAAGCTATTATTACAAATAAATTTGTCAATATGACGAAAATGTATACGTATTCTGCAATTATTATATAATGAAATATAAATATATTAAAATGTTAAGTATAAAAAAAAATTGCGAAAAGCAGTAAATCGATATCGATAATTCCGAATGTTCGCCGATACGATAAATGCTGATTCTCAAATAATTCCGCGAAAAAACGTTGATGTAGGCAAAAGCATCGATTGATCATGCAACGACGATTTTAATGACGAATGGATCGCGCACTAAATGCGATCGCAGCGATAATAATTTATCCCAATATCGATACCAATATCATGGGGAGGGAAAGAACCATTTCCCGAGAAAATTAAAATTTTCCGGAAATCAGATTTTCTCTCTTTTCGATGCAGATGAGCATCGAGAGATATCAATAGCGCTTGCAAACCGGACGTGAATATTATTAATTTTTCCGTTAATCTGTTATCCCGTCATTAATGGGAAAAATATGACCAACCGTATCGTTCATCTTCTTGTATATATCAATTTGAAAAAAAATTACTGTGTCGAGATGAGAGAAAAAGAAAGAGGAAAAATAAAGATTCTATTGAAGAGATCCTCATCCCCGATGAGCGATAAATCAATCCAAATAATGTTTCATTAATACTTTTTTTTTAATAAATCAATTATCTGCAAAGTGCAATCCAAAAGAAAGTAACCCAAATATATAAAATATTTTCGAAAACTTATATATATATAATTCACTGAGATTTGTTATTCCAAATAATTTCCAAATGATATAATAAATATAATGAATAATCGTATTTCGCGTACATAAATTAATTGCTTTGTTACTAATTTATGAAATTCATCAAAAATATTCTTGGAACCTAATTAAAATGTATTACATTTTATTTGTTTATTATTATTATTTTTATTATTAGAAGCAAACTTATAAGAAAGGAACTTAAAATAAAAGTTCAAACATAAACTCTATTTGAAATAATTTGCCTATTTCTGTTTTTCTCTCATTCTCTGTTATATATGAATTAATCGATCGATGCTATTCGCTGACATCTCATCTTTTAAATAATAAATATTATATCATATATATACTAGTCCCCATATATCTTTTCACACATTATTCTTATAATGCATATCTTATAATTTATTCTAAATATAGTCAAGTTATTTCTTTTTTTTGTTTAAGAAAAAGTTTATATATAATTATAAAACAAATATTAAAAATAGTAATTTTTCGTGAATGCAAACTGATAAATGACAATGATAAATAAAAAAGGCAAAAATCTGAAGAGATTTTTTAATGCATATAAGGATCTATTTAGATTCTCTAGTCTAAATAGATCGACTGTTCCACGGAAGGATAAGTTATAATAATATAGATTGAATTTACATAAAATTTTGTATCTTCTATGACAATATATTACAAAGTAATATGAGAAATTTCTAATTATTGTCATGGATAGACAAAAACAAAATGCATTTTATAAACATGTCGATTTCAATATATTTTTCCGTAGAACAGTTGCAAGTTTTGCGATTAAATAATTGGATTCACAAGACTGAGAAATGGAAAAGTCCGAAAATAAATTTTGGCGTAACTAGAAGTGAATATATATGCATAAGTAATATATACATATATATATATTTCTTTCTAATTTATATATTATTTTATCCTAAAACCATGATTAATACAAATGTATTATAAATAAAGAAATAATTTAAAAACAAATATATTACATGTATGTGTGTATATATACATATATGTATATTGTGTGCATATATATTATATATATATATATATATATATATATTAATGCACATTATGTACGTACATGCATATATGTATTGTAAAATTTTATTTATTTTTCTCCTAAACTTTATTTTTCATTTGATTAATCTAGTTACGCCTCTCAAAATAAAATGTTTGTATATGGAGTTCGATCACTACAATTGGTGAATTAATTTTATTTTCCATCATTTTAATTACGATATCGGAAAATTCGTTTGCATTTTTACACTTTAACTCTTGAAATGAAAATTATGTAATCGATCTCCAGATTAATGGACGTGCATGTTTTTCACAACAGACCGAGAAACACAAGGCGGATTTTCGCGAGGACCGTGATAGCGAAGCTATCGCTATTTCTGCGACTCTTCCTAACCGATCCGTCGTGACACGCGCTCTTCAATGGTCCAGTAATTGGCCAGTTCACTCGACCATATGAAGCGGTTCGCCACCGACCTTGTGTCTCTCGCTCGATTATTTTATTCTTATTAATTTTCTTAATTTATGCTCCATTTTGTTGATTTAAAGAAAAAATAGCAAGACAGGAATGGAAAGGAATGACGCTCATTAGATCCCTCCGCGAGAATTTGAATAACATTTTGAAAACAAAGAATGAATTGATCGACAATATTTGCGAACGATATGTAAAGATCGAGCTTGTCTATGATATAATAAACATGTCATACTTGAAATTTTTCGCATATTATTTTAACAAGATTACTCAATTATTCTGATTTCTATACCGATAAATAATTGCACGATTGATCAATTGATGCGTTTTCATAAATCAAAACAGACATGTTAAATACAGATGCTTGATACAGCTTTTAGAGATTGAAAATGTTCAATCACACATACACTTTATCCAAAATGGTACAAATTTGGATCGCTTCACAGATCTCATAGATCGTGCGGCGAGATTCTATTCAAGATTATATATCGCGGAATCATATCGTACGTGCGTTTTTGTTAATAAAAAGCGTTTCACATTAATAGCATGAGCCGTCACACTGAAATTCCGTGAAAAATCTCAATTTATTTATTAGAAAACAATTGATCGTGCGATATTTAATAATATCGAAATAACAAGTCTGATCTATTATATCGATCGCATTATTTGCAATGATCACTTTTATTTTAATATTGTGTAGTGTGTATTGTTATGTGATTATTCTCTCTCTTTTTTAAACACACTTGCGAGGGATCGACTAGCGTTTCGCGAGCAGAGCTGAATATTATTTTATATTGCAAGTTTTTTCATTAAGTCCGACTAATATACATATTTATTATGCACTTTATATAAGAAACAATATACGCATTTAATTGCAATAACAAAATATACAATATTATCTTAATTGTATATAAAGATATAAAATATTTTAATTCTGAACAGATGTTACTCCTTTAGTATAGCACAAATTTAAAAATATTTATCAAGCTTGTTTTCACAGACACTCTTTTTCACAATTCTATGCTCCATTAAAAAATGATTGAGGTCAATTGGCGATATACTTGTAGCTTCAGGAAGAATTTCTATTAATTATCTCCACTAGTAATTTCCGCAATTGTAAGAATTTAAAGAATTCGTTTTCCGCTTCATCGAATATTCATCTTGTTAAAATTGTATTTGTCCATATAAAAATTAATTAGTTTTCCAATAATTACTTTCTCTCTCTCACACACAATAATTATCTTATTATCTTACTATATACCGATCATTAGCAAGTACAATATATGTAAAAAATATGTTCTTCCTTCAATGTTTTATATAGCAATTTTTTTTGTGATTATTAAAATAAAGAATGGTATTAATATAGAAAATTAATCTTCTTGATAAAAGAAAACATACGCCTAATTTAAATACATAATTTGATCTAATATCAGTTATTCGGTTTCAATTAAAAAAAATAATTTGACGTATACGAAGAATTGAATTATTTATATCTTTTCTATAATAAAATATAAAATCCTCTTTCTGAGGCTTGCATGCATGTTGTGCATTCTTTCTCAATAATTTCTGTTTTGCAATTAAACGGGTACGTATTTATCTTTCTCTAAATTATTCCGGTCAGCTCTGCCCGCGGCAATTCCTAGGGGAATAGATCAAAGGAATATGTTCGAGGCAAATCGAATGAAGTCAGTCACAGCAAATATACGGAAATACAAACGTGGCGCGTGCGGTACTTACTCGTTGTTCAGCACGCGGAACGATTTCGGCGACATGCAGTTGACGCTCCATTCCGTGTTCCCATGCTCGTTGCATATCGTGATGGAGAACCTGCCGTAGTTCGCCCGTATCAGGTGGATCAGCTTTCCCTCGCCGCACTCGATCTCCAGCGTTTTGCCCTCGCAAGCGTATGCGGTGTCGTACCTCTCTGTAACAAAAAAACGTGTTTTTAAAAATTTTTAGTTTGCTTTAGTCCTTCGGCTCTGAAGTTCGCGGTAACGCGCATGCAACTGCACGTTGCAATTGCAGCTGCAACTCGCGGCGGACCGAATGTAGAGATTATACTCGCGCGGTCGAGCCTGTCGTACACATGACGTCCGTTGCGGCCGGATCTACATAGGCTTCCGTTTCCGGAAAACCTCCGCATGCGCGAGAAGCCTAGAGGATAGGTACGTTGTTGCTGATGGGATTACGTTGTGCTGCGATGTTTAATCTATTCGGGCGAGTGCGTTTTTGCGGTTTATATGTTAGTTTGTGTAGAGACTCCCCTAGCTCAAAAACATTTTTGCATTCGGATTATTTCTGACGAAAGAAATGTAAAATAAAATATATATTTTTTTCTTTCCTCTGTCGCGGTGCGAGAAGAGATTCTATTTCTATTTAAAATATAAAAATATTAAATCGCGAAATAATTTTAATTATTATATAGTATTTTTAATCAATCTTATCTTATATATATATATATATATATATATATATATATATATTCGTAAATTTAAATTTTAAGTTTAATTTGATCGAAAAAAATGATATATAGTATATCTTAAGAAACACGTATTATAACTCTTAAGATGCATATCTATATACTTTTCAAAACTTGTTAAGAGATTTAAAATTTAAAACTTTAATTATTTTTTCGTAATACTCTCTTTATTAAAATTAATCTCATCATCAGACTCTTATAATCTATTCCAATATCATTGCAGTAAAATAAACTTCACATTCATGAAGTAAAAAATCCAGCTGGTTACATTTAACGTGCCTGATGTGAGTTTAGTTTATGAAAACATTTGACGGGATGCATAATATAATATTTTCACGTGAGATGTGAACGTTTGGACGCGAAATCCGCGAATAAACTCGCTGAATTTACTGGCGCCACAGTATTTCCGTGGAAAGTCCTAACCGCGGACTAAACTGGCATTATGGCGCGTCGGTACGGAACTAATGAACTCACGACGAGACTTTCATGGACAGAGTTATTACACTACTCTCCCTGCCTTCTGCTCGCACAGGCTGTCCCCCTTCTTGCTGTCTTCTTCCTTCATTCTTCTTTCCTTGGACGGTATCATATTATAGCAGCCATATCTTCCCCTAAATAAACCTGGACGCAGTTTTGCGATCCTATCTCATCTCTTTCTTTCTCTACTGTCAATGTATTAATATCCAGCTTATTTGCTTTTTCAATCTTGTACAACATATATTCGATACATTTTATTGGAAATTTTTATATTATTACTGAATAACGATTGTGATAAAAATATCGATTGCAATGTGTCCGAAGTTACCTCTCGACGATAAGATAAATTTAATGTAATCTAAGGACAAATATATTTAATAACAGTATAGGCAACATAGAGGTAATATAGGCATTCCATTCCCGAAGTCATTAGTTGGCGCATGTCCAGCCGTCATTATCGATCATTACGTAAAGGATCTTCAGGGAAAAAAATGGTCTCGGGCAAGCGTCGACTTGCAGAAAATCCGAGAACAAAGCGATGGCTGAGTAACGACGCGCGTGTTTCGCGGTAAATTACTGCGTGCGTGGAAACGATGGCGCGAGGGTCAAGGATGCGGCGGGATTACGTGGAGGGCACACGAGAGGAGCACCTCGATTTAACGTCCCATTCGCTCGCTACGTCGGTTCGTACTAACTTGGCGAATAGCGCCGTGTTTTGCGGCGACTACGCGTCGTCGAGCACAAGATCGCCCCAAAATTTTCGTTGATCCTATGAATCCATATCCGGTAAGGTAACGAGAAAACTTCGATTCGGTTTGGTTCAAAAGAAAATGCCAAGTATTGTTTTAATCAACTTGTTCGTAACTGAATTCGTGTCTTGTACTTGAATTATGGAATGGAGGCAAAGGATGCATTAAAACTATGTTTAATGGGAATGTTTGGGAGATAAAAATTAAAATAAATTTAATCTTACCGTAATCCATATTTGTGAAGGAATAGGAGTATACATATAATATATAAACTACAAGAAAGCTGAAGGCCAAAAACATGTATATATATTTAATGTAAAGTTTTATTGCACGAAATAAAATGCATCTCAACAGTAGGATAAAGCATCGTTATAAGGCCAACGTATCTTTTTGATAAAAATGGTAGGGAGCTAAGAAAAGAGGAGGCAAGAAGAGAATTTATAACACGAAAGCAATTTCTCTCAGCTGCCTCTTTTTGCTCCTCGCATCGCGATTAACGCTCGACTCGCGCCGTTATTCTCGCTGCAGTTTGTTCTCCGTTAATTAAGCGCGTTTCGATAACACCCCGGTAAGCGGCAGATAATCGATATACGGCGTCATCGACATGCTCGATTAACCGGGGATGAGGCAGAAATGTGCACCGAGTGCGATGTGTGTTTCGATCAAAACGCTACTGCCATAAACGCATCGATTCGCATAAGCGCTTCGTCAGTGAACGCGTCTGCCGAATGCACTCGTTCGTAAAATTCTGATTGCAATTGTTGCATTCAAGCATATATATTGAATTACCTTGAAATTCATTTTTATGCGATAAGATTTTATTTTGTAGACTTTCAAAATTCAAATTAAATGTAATTAATTTTTTTATTTAAGAAATAAAATTCTTTTATATATATATATAATTCAATCCTTGAAATTTAATTTATATACGCTTGTACTGATAATTAATAATTTTCTATATATTTCTCGTATTTAAATCGCGCAAATTTTAAATTTTTGAAAAAAGCAGAGCACATATAAATATATAATTTCTAAAAACACTTTTCATCAGAAATTCATAAAGCTTATTTGATGAGATACGTTTGTACATCAGAGATATCAAATGATCCATTATATGACTTCAACCTCGGAAAAATGCTTCTTTAAATTCTAAAAAAAAAAAAAAATATATCGCATCTTTCTTAAAAGACAAACACTTGATTCGAGGTGACGAGCCTATACGATGACGTTACAAAGTGCTAATCGTCGAATAGCTATATATTACGGAAACGTCACTTTTTCCGAGATATATTCGTAGCCACAAAGTCGTTCAAAGTTGGCCAGTTCGGAGCTCGGATCCCAGGGCGGAAGATCTCTTCGGGATTCGCAGTAGAATTTGGTCCCTTTAAACGCGTTCGGTCCCCAGTGTGTGCGGTCACCGCTCGAATGCCGGGAAGACGTCGCCTCCCTCGGGAGCGGTGAGTTTCGAGGGAACCGCACCGTACATATATATATATATATATATATATGTATGTAGATGTCTGTGTTTCGAGTCGTTGCTGCGACTCGACCGCGGCGCATGCACTTCGTCAAGTTCGAAGCACCGGAAAGCGAGAGGATTCCCTCCGTCTCTTTCTATATAGCGCTGCCCTCGTTGCGTATAAATCTTCGGACTCGCGGCCGCGCCGGAACTCTCCCGAGAGTCCTTTCAGGCTTTATCGCTTCGCCCTCTGGAGCTCTCGATCGAGCCGCCGACGTTGTGCTCTCGAGTCAGCTACTCGTTGAAGTCCTTCGAGCGTGATCGAGGAGTTCGCAATTTCCTCCGGATTACTGACGTATTAATTGGTCGAGCGTTAACCTCTCGCCTTCTGGGACGTCGGCGTTAACGAAAGAATTTTGTTTAACAAATTGCATATATCGTTTGATATTAGAGAGTCTCGTTTGTGAGTTAAAGGGTCAATTAATTATTCTCTTAAATCTGTAACAGCGGAGAATGTAACGAATTCGATGCGCGTAACTTGGCGTAATTCGCTCCGACGTCGAGTTCGCTATGAAAATTACACCCCGACCAGAACAAACACATTCGGTGCTCGTTCGGCCGTTGAACGAGAAAATTATTGCACGGCCCCGCATCGTTGTCGAAATGCCTTTTTCGCTGCGCTCGTCCGCCGCCGCATCTGCGGCTGACGCGTTATGCGTCATGCGGTTGCTATCCGCGGCCGGACTTACTGCGCGCGGATTGTTCGCGGGTTGTAAAACGCGTTGCCGCAGCGTGAAATCGAGCGAATGCAAAGCCCATTCTCGGCATTTAACCAGAAAAAGTTGTTGCAAACTCGAGCGCCGGACAATGAAATTATTATGCGCCCTTTTAGTCACATTCCGGCGATGCATTCGTTACCGATGCGAGTGCAACCGACGCGCGTGCATCATGTGGTCGCGGTTAGGAGACACGTACGATACAAGTTTATATGTTGTTTAACCAATGTATCGTTTAAGTACATCGTTTACGTCATGAGTATCTCGTTGTACATTTTAATTAATTTATTATTGCGCAATATATATTAATTTTGGGACATGTGTTTTGTTTGGTTTAAAATTTGCCTGTCCGTTTGTAAATAATTATATAAATTGAACATTTTTTCTATAACGCGATATTAAAAATTTTATTACTATACATGATTAGAAAAATAATATAAAAAATATTTCATTTTTCCCTAATCTCAGGAGTAATCCGATTATGTCGTATTATTGGATACTATCGGATTATATTTTCATTTCATTAACTAATTCTTGAATTATTCGGAAGCTATAATTGTTAAATAAAAAAAATATTGTTCTCTATTCATTCAAATTACATTAGCACGTGCTTTTGCTTTTGAGAAAAACGTTAATTCTGCAAATGGAGACTTAGATAATTCTATAATGTATCCTCAAGGCTTCCTTCAACGCGTTTCCAGTCCTGAGATCTTAGAGAATCCTTCCTTGCGCGGTTTCCAGTCATCTATCCTCTTAGGAGCTAAGTATAACACCGTGAAATTTCCATTGAAATTACTTACTCGACTTCCCGAGAAGAACAACGGCTGGCTTCGGCAGAAATGAATTTTTCTTATATATCACCGCGCGCGCTTCTCCGCTTTAGAACCGCCTTACATTATTAATGCTCCCCTTCCTAATCAAAAATGCATTATATTTTCAATATCATTATTCCATCGTACTCTACTAGCTCCGTCCCATGAACGT